TGGTGGTCGGAGGGTTTTTAGAAAGGGAGAAGAGGAAATCAGATGGTTATAAGCCGACCATAAAGGCTGTGAGGATGACCTTGTCATTGTTTTCCGCCACCTGTAGGGCCTTGGTGTTGAAACGGGTGACAAAACTACGTAGTGACTCCTCTTTTGTCTGTTAAATATTAAGTAATTGAGTTGCTGGGCACCGCTGGCGCTGTGCACCAATGAAATGGCTCAAGAAGGAATCGTTTAGGTGTTGGAAAGTATAGATAGAATCCGACGGTAGCTGACTAAACCATAATCGAGCCGACCCCTTAAGCGTCACAAGAAAAGCCCGACAAATGATCTCGTCAGGAAAAGCATGGAGGATCATGAGGGTCCTGTAGGTCTCCAAATGGTCGACTAGATCCGTTGTGTCGTCGAAGGAGTCGATCGAGGGCATTTTGAACTTGGGGGGTAGGGTTTGTCCCTGATTGAGGCGACAAACAGGGAGTTAGCTGTTGTGGAGGGTTTATTCTGCATGACTCCTTAAAGCTGGAGTTTCATGGCTCGGAGTTCTGCATCCCAAATAGGAACATTGTCCGTTCCAGAGTGTAGTGGGGGCTGAACACTACTAGTCTCTCCTTCAGGGACAGGTGCTTGAATTGATGGATGTAAACCCGAGGTGGCGGGTTCATGTCTTAAGGTGGGGCTTGCAGACCCTCTAAGTTGGAGATGTGGGCTTGTTAGAAAGGATGGCTTGGGGTCCGTTTGGGGTCCGTTCTCGATTAAGAGAGATATCTTGGGGTGGTGAATGAGGTATAGGGAGGTTTCGTTGGAGCAAAGCGTTGATTAAGGCCGAGTTTTGCTCGGCCAAGCGGTTGATGCTGTTGGTGAGCTTTATGAAGTACTGAGGTGGGTTATTTGGGTCGTTTGGGTTGTTTGGGTTAGGAGGGTCGGCTTGGGGGTCACGACGTTGTGTTAGAAAGCTATGGATCTCGTTGTAACCATCTGCCTCGATGGCAGGCGGGGAGAAATTATCGGGAACGAGTCTCTTGCAACAATGAACACAAGTGCTACCCGGAGCGGCGTTCCCACAGACGACGCCACTGATGATGTTGCCGATCCAAATGAGGGCGAGTCGGGTTGACCCACGCTTCCTGCACCTCTCACCAGTCACTGAGCTCGCTGGTGTACCTGCAAAAATATCCAATGGGAAACGGGAGTCCTCCAGCGAACCCTCTGACAATCAAGTTAGAAAAAATGAGATTGATGGTGTGGAGATAAGGAGAGAATAAGAATAGAGAACTTAACCTTTGATGTGTCTTGGAAGCCTCCTTATATCCTTTGTCCATCATTTCCTTGTCTACTTCGACCTATCGTGTTGGCCGAAAGTCTATACTTTAACTTGCTTTGTTCACGGTGAGGCTGCCCGTTCCGACATGAAAGGGGTTATCGCATTTAATGCTGCGGAGCCTCATTAATGGCTGATGTGTGGTGCAATAACTCTGTAGGATCTTTGTCTGCTTACGTGGCTGGTTCCCTTCTTGACAAGTGTTTAGATGTCATTGGTTCCTAGTGCAACATTGGGTTCTCAATGGTGTTGGGCTTTAGTGTTTGAACCGTGAATTAGGCTCTAAGTGGTGGGCCAAAAGCTTCTATGGGCCCACCGATGCCAAAAACAAATGATGTGTATTGAGATTTCTTATTGCATGTGAACATAATTTCTCAAAACAAATGGTATGTACTGAGATTTATACTTGAACAAAACAAACGATGTGTAATGCGAATTTTTGCGATGTGTAAATAGAATTAGCCTCAGATTTTTGGTGTGTAAATAAAACTATCCTTTGAGTAAATATTTAAATATATTTTAATTTGGGTAAAATTTTAATTTCATACAAATTTGGGTTATGTTGTGCTTAGTAAATTCTATTGAAATTTATAAAATGGGGAAATTCTATTTACACAACAAATTTATCTATTTACACTCTCTATTTGAGATTTTTTTTCTTCTCCCAATTTTACTTATATATAAAATTATCTTTAAGGAAAAAAGGTAAAAATTAAATAGATTTAATTATCTCTTTACACCCATTACATTTTAATTTGTACTTATTTTCTTCCTTTCTCATTTATTCTTCTCTACTATGCATTTACTTTCAAAAAATGAGAATCAGAGTATTTTGATCATAAAATAAAATAATGGATGAATAAATAGTGATGAAGGACTAGCAAAAAAGTAAAATGGTGAGTTTTTTTTTTCTTTATTTTATATGTTTCCGTTTCGTTTTTTAAGAGGGTTGTTCAACTTTTGTTCATTATATCATAACTGAACAAAATCAAATAGCTCGAAATAACATTGCCAAACAAAAAATACATATCGAGTAATCCATTGTCGAACAAAAAAAAACTTGTTCAATAACCTACTGCTGAACAAAATGTACATGTGACATTTTTATTTTTTTTTGCTTTGAAAGATTATGCTTCTATTCATTGTTGTAGGGTTAGTAGTGCATTGTTAATGGACTACAGGCATAAATTTATTACAGACAAAGTTTGTTAGATTTATCTTCTTCCTGGTCATCCAGTATTTTCGAAAGTAAGTAATTAGATTAATTTTCATCACGCATATGTTAACGGATGGAAGAAAGCATATACTACTTATATTCATCAATTTCGTGTGATTGTCAACTCTGATGTAGTAATTATCGAAACTATCAACATAGATGGATTGTGATAATATCTCAATGTGTTTTTATAGATATTTATATTGACAAATTTGAAAATATTTGTATTGACAAATTTTATGAATGATATATGGATGTTTGTACCTTTTATGTTTTTATGGATACTTGATATTTTAACGCAGTGAATCTATAAACGTGTGGCAACTGATGGCTAGACAAATTTTGGTTATTCGACAACATGACACTAAAATAATTTAAATTGTTATGCAATGTATAATCGAACAGGTTTATTATAAATTTAGAAAAAAAATGATATTTTAAAAAAAAAATGAATTTATAAACGTGTGACAATAGATAACTGAAAAAATATGATTTATTCGGTAATATAACACTAGAATAATTCAGAAAGAACATGTGTAATGAGTAGAGGTGATTATGGTCCGAATTGGGATAAAATCATGACCAAATCGTTATTTACGGAAAATTCTATTTCTATACACTCAATTATCTCAGTGCACATCTTTTCTCAGTACATACACCCATTAATTTGATAATTAATTAATATTTTCAATCTACACATTGAAAGTTACAATTACATCCTTCACCTATAACCATTGTACACCCACCAAACATTTCTTTCTACACACTTGTTCGTTGACCCTATGTCCACAAATGTAGACCCACCCACATGAACACCTGTTAAAGACTTTGGTATGCAGTGAGACGCTTTTTCTCCATTGAAGATCATATTCAACCTCCATCCCAAAATATTGTTAAAGGTAAGGCATTCTTTTCATTTTGTTATTTCATTTACCATTTTGCGCACTCCATTTTAAATTAATATTTTAAAAAAATATTATTTTGTTGAGAGATTTTTTGGGTTATTCTTTTTTTTTTATTTAAGAATCACAATGGTCATTTTAGTAACTCTACTTTTATTTTCAAAATGGTAATTATAAATGTTCTTGTTACATGAAGACTAGGTAAGAGATCTGTGAATATGGGCATGAAAAGAAAAATGAGTGTTTGGATTGCGAGAAAAGGCATGTAAAATATGGAAATAGTCGGTGAATAAGTTGTTGTTGTGATGAAAAAGTGAGAGGTGGATAGAGGGAATATATAGAGGGAATATATAAAGGAGAGAGAGACCATGAAGGGAAGGATTGTTTTAGAGAGAGAAAGAGAGTTTGTTGAATGGGTAGTTTACTTCTCTTCTCGCCTCCAAGGTTGAATTATAAACTACTCATGTTCCAACAGCCCCCTTTTTTGATGTTCTCTTAGAGTATTAACAAACAGTCTCTACAATCGTCTTTTCCCATAAATTATTTTGCTTGAGTTTGAATTTTTATTGTTTTACAACTCTTTCATAACAAAATTAAGTAAAAATTATGGAACTAATAAGAAACAATATAAATAATATAGTATAAACGTACAGATTAAAGCAACATATGAGTTGTTATGAGAGTATTGATTTATTTTCAAGCAATAAAGGAGTATAGAGTGTGTAGTATGCAAAGTGATAACAATGAGAAAAAAAACTAGGATTAGTTTTTTTTTTTACTCAAAAGGTCTACACTAAGACTTTCTTATTTTTAAAAGATGTGTATAGAGAATGTTTTCATATAATATTATTAGTGTTGGTAGATGTCCATTATGGTCATTTGAATTTAGGATATAATTGTCATTAAAATAATATTTTATTAAGTGTGTTTATTAAAATAATTAAGTGTGTGGAAATAGAATTTTCCGTTATTTACAGTTCCTGAAAAATTGAAATAAATCCAATCCGTTTAAATCGTGGAACCAATCCGTTTAAATACGAATTTAATCGGTTTAAGACCACGGATTCACGTAATTAAATAACAAAAAAATATAAAAAATTTTAATTTCAAAAAATATAAACATAGTATCAAACAAAATCAATAAATAAAAGTAATAAACAAAAGCAACAAACAAAAGCAATAAAATTAGATACACATTACACAAAGTAGAGAAATTACACATAGCATCAAATAAAAATAACAAGAAAATTGGTTTTAGACAAATAAAAATAACAAAATTATGAACAAAAACAATAAACAAACAAAAGCATAGCAACAACACAGTAGTAGCAGTATAGAATAATGTTTAACTTTTATATGAAATAAAAAATAATAATATAGATTGTTTGTATACAATTGAATTGGTTGTAATTTAAAATTGTGAGAGTTCAATCCGAAACTGACGTACAATTTTAAAAATTTTTAATCCGAAACCAAACCACCAACTTAAAAAATTAATCCAAACTCATTAATCAGATGATGTTATGAATTATACGAATTTCTCGGTCAGCCTAGTAATAGTGTTGAAAATGGTTTAGTCTAGGTCCCTTTATAAATATGACCAGTATGAACAGTGTCTAACAGTGGTAGGAGGGTATGGAAGAGGAAGTGGAGGAAGTATGGATAGAAGGAGAGGAAAGCGCAAAAGCAATGCTGGAGAGGGTTTTGAGGGAGCGGCCATTGTTGCTTCTCCTTCCTCCTCTTCACAGAGTCCCTCTCCGCTTTGGCAACGTTGTTGAGCTCCTCGGCCCGTCCCCTTCTGCCAAAACCCACATTTTAATTCAGGTACTTACTACTACTACTACTCCTACTACTCAAATAACCTCAGTAATTACTTGGTTTCTTTTTTTTTTTTGTGGGTTTAGCAATAGTATCTCAATCCCATGTCCCAAACAGGCCCTAGGTGTAACCCCTCTATCCCTCGAATTCCCCATCTGATTCCATGAATCAAACAGGCCCTATGTGTATCATCCTGTAAAATATCATACTGGACACCTGAGACTGAGCCATTGTGAAGTAATATTGTGCTATGAGGTCTGGCCAAATTAGAATGGTAATCTTCAAGGGTACAATGCTCTCTGAAAAACATATAGTTGAGTATTAGGCTGTGATTGGTTGCAGGATTTGGTAAGAGAAATGGAAAGGGAAAAGAAAATACAATCCCACTTTTGTCTGGAAAAAGAATGTGAGAGGGATATGCAATCCCACTTTTTGTCTTTTGGTTCAGTGTTTGGTTCATGATTTGGTGAGCAATTTGGAAATGGAAAGGGAAAAGGTGTGCGAATTGTAGGTGAAATGTATATTTTATTCACATTTTACCTTCATTTTCCCTTTCCTTTTTTAAATCCCTCTCCAAATGCATAAACCAAACACGGCCTTAGGCTCTTTTATTTCTCGATTTCCCAACTCAACTACATAGTTGGGAATTTGAATCCTACCAATTTTTCTCATTTTCTTCTTATTTCCCTTTCCTTTCAATTTCCCTGATCAAATCCTCCCTCTAACCAAACAGATAAAAGGAATTTTTGATATTGCATGTTTGGTCGGTGCCTCTGACATTAATGATTTAAAGGAAACAAAAGGGGGTTAAAAACATCGTGAAATTTCGTTGAGCTTTTGGAGCCAAAGAACTCTTGCCTCTTGCCTTGGTGGAAGTTAAAAGAGATGTTGTTCAAAAGCATTGTTTTATGCATCTTTTTCGCTTTGATTAGAATCACTTTAGTTTTATGATTATGGAACAATGTCAAAATTACAATCTTCATGATACTGGTGGTGACATGATTGCACCATTGGAAATGTCAATCATTTTTGTGGAACTATGGGCAACTGAAAAGTTCAACAAAGTAAGTTTTCTCAAATAAGCTCTAGATTTGAATATGACTTTTTGTTAAGCTGAAAAAAATGTGACTGATGACATGTTTAACGCATTGTGATTTGATTGGCATATAGAAGCAGCCAGTAGAAGTGGTTGGTATCATGGTCAGTGGTAAATAATAGGTTGGTGGAATGATCATTAAGGGGTTGCTTGGGATGATCAAAATAAGTGCACTTTTTGACTTTTTATGAAATATGGGTTGGGTTTGGGTTGGGTTTGAAGTGATGTGTTAGAGAGGTGATGTGACTTAAATAAGATGATGTGACTTAAATAGAATAGTAACTTTTTAACTTTTTGTCTTTTTTCAAGTATGCCAAACTTGGCCTAAATATGCTTTCTTCTTATTAAATCTATTACATTGACAAGGATATCATGAAACCATTGTTTCTGTTTAGTTACCAGTTTTCCCAAAAACCTAAGTTATTAGGAAATGAGCTCAACAATGTATGTCAAGCTATCTAACACCCTCCCTCACGTGCAATCCCATCTTGCATGTAGAGAGACAAACAGGAGTAGCAAATAACTAAATAGAGAAGAAGAAACCAAATGGGGAAAGAATACGAAATGCCAACAGAGAGACTTGAACCCAAGAGACCTCTTTCAACTTGAGCTCTAATACCATGCTAAGTTACCAATTTTTCCAAAAGCCTAAGTTATTAGGAATGGGCCCAACAATGTTTATCAAGCTATCTAATAATTTCATATTGAAGGTTGAGAGAAATCTACTTACCAAAATAATCCAAACTACCAAATATCCTACCATAAACAAATATCCTATGGCCAGAGCCTCAGATACATATGACAGTGACTCTGAATAAATGTAATTTCTCTTCCGTGGTTGTTTTTGCTATTTCATAGTTGGTTTAGGGTTACTTTTGTACTTATGCTATATTTAGTCATCAGGGCTTCTTTTTAAATCAAACTCAGCAGTTCAATAACAGAGGTTTTGTGAAATAATACTCTTATTGGAGACAAAACGGTCTCCTTGAATTACATCTGACCGCAATTTCCATCAAACAGTTTTTACATGAGCCTAGCAAACTGTACTACTGGGGTTGGAATAGCTACTGATATGTCAATTTCCCTGAATTTTTCTCCATTAGCTGTTAAATTTATACAAGTTGAAAGAATGCAAATATTTTCAAATGAGATTTATGAACAAGTTCTTATTGGAGACAAAATAACTTTGGATGCCTATGTGGCTTTATATGGAAGTCCGATAAAGCACTACTGGATACGTATCGGTTTGGATGTGCCTGAAACTCCTGTGATATTTTGTCTAGAATGCTTTGATGTTGCTCAGTTTTGCTACTATGTGTACGTGGATTGCCTGATACTTGTGCCTAGATTCATTGTACATATTTTTCTAAAGCATTAGTTGTCATGCTAAGAAAATTGTATTTTGTTGGAAGATTTATACTACTTTCATTATAAAATATGTACAGTTGTATGGAGGCTCCCACAAGGATCTCTATTGATGTTTTTGATAATCATTTTTTAAGATACAAACACATAGCTTGTGCTGTAATATTAGGCTGCTGTCAGCTGCATTCTTCCTAAGGAGTGGAACGGTGTGACCTATGGAGGCTTGGAGCATTTAGTAATGTTCATTGACTTGGATTGTCGCTTTGACGTTTTACGCCTTTCACAATCTCTTAGGCATCGAATAATGGAAGCTAATGGTAAGCAGTATACCTTCACTTTGTTATAAAATATACATCTATTATGCTTCTTTTTCTTTTTTTTGTTTTTTGGTTCTTTTTTCTTTTTTTTCCCCTTCCCCAAATCTTAGATAAGTATATAAGCCGATAATTGTTTGGATCAAGCCTTCTTCAGGTGTATTTTGTTTTAAGCATATTTAAAATTGTTTGAAGTGATTTTGTAGGGTACTCATTAGAAGGATGTTCCTCTGGTTGTTACTCCTAAATTCAAGATATTTTGGCACTAAACTCCCTTGAATTTCTAGAAGATATTCCTGCTTTATGTACAAATTTTAGAGAAGAACTGGTTTTTGAAGCTGCACTCTAGTTCTTGCTGCTTAAACTCTTAATTCTATCTTTGGTTATTCTTGTTTATCCCTTTTAAACCCTAAGGAGACAGCCAGCTCGGGCATAGGATTCTTGTCTGCTGTTTATCCAGTGCTGGGGTGTGCTGAAGGATTGGAGTAAAGAATCCGATGTGGGTTTAATATTTTCTTTCTAGTGGATAAAATAACACCTTTTTTTGTGTGGTTGGGGTGGGTTGGTGGGTTTTAAGTTTTGTGGGTGAATATGATTAGAGAAATGCTTAACTTGAATGAGAAGGGAATGAGAGAATGTTCGCAGCTACAGGGAAAGGTAGAAGGATAGACTGCTGACAAGTTCGCTGGCGGTCAAGCTGTTGCTACCTGGATGTTGCCAGTGGTTATTTCTTCCTGCATTTTCCTTTTCTCACTACGATTCACTGTGATTTTTTTTTCTTCTCTTCCATAATGCATGAAATGGCATCGTTTTCACAAAATAAAAAGAGATCATTAATTATATTGATATTTGTGGTTTTCTATGCATGTACATATGTAATTTAGTTATATTGATATTTATTTCATTTTAAACACTATGTGTGTATGTTTATTTGTATATACATATAATAAATTATATATTATGATAAATAAAGCAAATCTTATGATTCAAAATTTACTATTTTAGCAAAATGATTCACGATTCGATTCATGATTTGACAACAATGAGCTTGACAACCAATGCGTTAAAATTGTTAAAATTATTGTCAGATTCCTTATGAACATGAATTGTAATATGAATATGCGAGTGAGACTAGGGTGTTACTTGTAAGCAGCATGTTGCGTCTGCCTTTGGGCATTTGAAAGTGCCTAGGCACGGTGCAAAATAGGCAATGGTCTTTGCCCTTTCCTAGGCGAGTGAGTAAAGAAGTTAGACCAGGGCTGCAGGTTTAGATTAAGAACTTGGAATATAGGAATACTAATACGTAAAACTAGGATAAATTACACTTTGCCCGCTTTATGTTTGGCCATTTTTCTACTTTGGCCTTTCATGTTTTAAGTTTTTCCTAATTTACTCTAGAAGCTAACTTATGTCCAAAATTAGATAGAAAATGACACATTGATAGTCATGTGACAAAAATATTTTTTTATATATAAATTACACCTCTAACACACGTTGAATATAGAAATTAGAGTACATAGAATCTTTTTATTGTTAGTATTATGTATATAATCTGTGATTGTGTTAATTATTGATTTAGTACCTTATTCATATTGTTTCCTTGTTTATATCATTTCCTAAATTGTATCATATATATATTGTATATACATGGCCTCTACCTCATTCATGGGTAAGCTAAATCATTCTTTTCATCCTTTTTGGTATTAGAGCCAGAGCACAGTGACCCTAGTTCTTTGTGTAGCCACTGTTGGCACCTCTATTCCACTGCCCAGCCACTGTTTCATCTTCTTGCTTCCTCCTTGAGTGCCGACAGTCCCCTTCTAGCCCTTTATTTCACCTGATAGCCCCACCCAGCCAGCCTAGACCCCCCGAAACCACCTACCCAACCCTCTACACCCCTTGGCAGGCTGCCCTAGTGTTGCCAAGGGTCTTGTTGGCTGCTGACTAGGTGTTTCCTGGCCACAGATGCTTCCGCAGCTCTTCTAGGGCAGTTCAGTCCTTATTTTTTTCTCTTTTTAGGGTGTGGTACTGATGTATTAAGCACTTTTTGGCCTTTTTTTTTTTATTTAGTGGGCTACCAAATTTGTTAAGTAGCATTTATTTGGACTAGCTGTTGAGTTTTTTTTTTTTTTTTTGGGTTCTTTTTTTTTTCGACTTATTGTATTTTTCTAGATTGTGTTGCTTTGATTTTGTGCTTTCTAGCCCTTATTAATCCACCATGACTGACCCGTCCCATGTTGATTTCAATATGCGCACCAAACCTATACTAGTGACCATGGTTGTTTGAATCGTACGATTCGCGATATGATTGGGTATGATTTTTTCATAGAACGATTTGAATGGAGTACTTAAATCGTAAATTTAAAGGAATCGTGTGATTTGAAGTAAGAATCGTAGGAATCGATGTGAATCGCCGATACGTACGATACTCACAATTCAAATTTCATTTTTTTTTTCTCCTGCCCAGATTTGTTAAACGACGTCGTCTGATCTCTTTAATTCAAAAAAAAAAAAAGAAAAAAAGAATGATAAATAGAAGAAATCATTTGAAGAACAGATGAAAAACTCAAGCTATGATTTGATTGAGAGAGAAATGAATCAAAGAAAGGAGACAAAACTGTTCGAAGAAGAGGATTTTCGAATCTGCCAGTGAGAAATCTGAAGGTATGTAAAGAAATAACCAGGAATTGTCTTCTTCTACCTATTGTCGGTCTCACTGCTCAGTCTTCTCTCTCTCGGTACTCAAAAAATTAATCTGTGGGTTAGCTTTTCTTTACCATAAAGTCTCCTTGTGGGGTTTTCTTGTGGGTGAGAAAACATTAAAGTAATAGGTATTTGTTTAATGTTGCTGTAAGGCTCCACACCATTATCCTCCTTTAATATATAATATTTTATATAAGTTACATATTTGTCCTTATTTGATTCTTTATTTAGATGACCTATAGACTGCACTAGAATAGATAGTAAGGAAGGAGAGAAGAGAGTATATAAACTTGCTAAGATGCGGGAGAGGAAAACGAGAGATTTTAATCAAGTTAAGTGCATTAAAAGTGAGGATTCTAAGGTATTGGTGAAGGATGAAGAGATTAAGAAAAGATGGAAGAACTATTTTGAGAAACTATTAAATGAGGAACATGGCGGTACGGCAATAAGGGAAGAAATAGTTAATAATACGATAAACCAAGACTATATGTTTTATCGCAGGATTAGGAACTTTGAAGTGGAGATTGCACTTAAAAAAATGAAATCAAATAAGGCTTTAGGACCCGATGATATCCCTGTTGAAGCGTTGAAGTGTTTGGGTAAAAATGGGGTTGCTTGGTTGATTAGGTTGTTTAGCAAAATTTTGTTGACTAGGAACATGCCAGATGAGTGGAGGAAGAGTATTTTAGTACCAATCTATAAGAATAAAGGAGATGTCTAGAATTGCGTCAGCTATAGAGGAATCAAGCTAATGTGTCATATAATGAAAGTGTGGGAGAGGGTGATGAAACGCCGATTGTGAGATATAACAGAGATGTCAAAGAATCAATTTGGGTTTATGCCTGGCAAGTCAACAATGGAAGCAATTTATCTTTTGAGGAGAGTAATAGAAAAGTATAGAAAAAAGAAAAGAGACATTCATATGGTGTTCATCGACCTTGAGAAAGTATATGATAGAGTGCCCCGAGATATAATATGGTGAATGTTAGAGAAGAAATGGGTGACAAAAGATTACATTGATGTGATTAGGGATATGTATGAAGAGGTGGTGACCACTATTAGATCGCCTACTGGAGAGACAAATGAATTCCCTATCACTGTAGGGTTACACCAAAGATCTACCTTAAGTCCTTATCTTGTTGCTTTAGTTATAGATGAGTTGACAAGAAATATTCAGGATGACGTGTCATGGTGTATGCTTTTTGCAGATGATATTGTGCTAGTGGATGAGATTAGAGAAGGAGTTAACACAAAGTTGGAGATTTGGAGAAAGCTTTTGAATCTAAAGGATTCCGGATAAGCAGCACTAAGACAGAGTACATGGCATGTAAATTTAGTAATAGTAACAATAAAAGCAGAGGAGAAGTGAAGATTGAGAACCAAGAACTGTCTAAGAGTGAACATTTTTGTTATTTATGGTCGATTATCACAACAGCGTGGGACATTGATGTAGATGTGGCCTATAGGATTAAGGCGGGATGGTGTAAGTGGAGAAGTGCATCTGAGGTACTGCGCGATAAACGAATACCCACTAGGCTAAAAGGTAAGTTCTATAGAACGGTTATTAGACCAGCGATGTTGTATGAGATGGAGTGTTGGGCAACCAAGAAACAACATGTAGATAAGATGAGTGTGGCTGAGATGGGGATGCTCAGGTGGATGTGTGGCAAGACTAGACAAGACAAAATTAGAAATGAGTGTATTCAGGAATAGGTAGGAGTAGCACCGATAGAAGATAAGTTAAGAGAGAATCAATTGAGATGGTTTGGTCACATTCAACGGAGACCAATAGAGGCAAAAGTGAAGAGATGCGATGCTATAACGGTAGATGGGAGTGTTAGGGGACGGGTTAGGCCTAGATTAACATTGGCTAGTGTTGTAAATAGAGATTTGGATCTACTTAATTTGACTAACGCAGTGGCCTTTGATAGGGCCGTGTGGAGAAGAAGGATTCATGTAGCCGATCCCATTTGATAGGACTTAAGGCTTGTTTTGGTTTGGTTTGATTCTTTATTCACTATTAATGGTTCTCACTTGTTATTATTTTCTAGTTGTTTATTATTTTCTTGTGTGAATTTATTTTTTATTTTAAATTTTGTAGATATTCTTGTGAATCAACAGTGATGAAAAAGTCAAAAAAAGTGGCTGACCTAACATGGGAACACTGTACAAAAGTTACAGAACAATTATTGTTACTTTTTTATAAACTTTTGGAGCTTCCTCTTAAATCAATGAAACAATGATGCATGAAATTTATATTAGATTGTTATTTTTTTCATTTTAAGCACTATATTTGTGAT